TAATGGGTAGAAAGTCTCAAGCGCATGAGACAGTTTGATATTCACTAATGGAAAAACTGCGCAGTTTTAAACGATATCTAATCAAAACGTCCTTTGAGTCGTTCCTTTCAAGGTCATGATTTCCATCATCGAGTAACGGGCTTGGTGCACACTTTTACCAGTACCTTTTTTTCCCGTCGATTATTTTTTTTCAATTACTCTAATTTAAAAAGGAGTATTTATACACTAAAAAGTAGACAAAGAAAATATAGGTAACCGTGCTCGTTCGAAAGCTATAGACCATCATACCTCTTAACCTGATCTATCGATTAAAAACCAATACCATGATCGAGGGATGTGTGCACGCTTATTCCCTTGATTACATATTTTTTTATGCGCAGTGCACGATGCAATACTAATCATTCCACTTAAACATTCTCGACTAGTCACCACCATCAAACAAATTTAGCCCTTCCTTTAAAAAGAGCATTGGTCTCAAAATAATTTCTTTTCCAGGTTTGCGTTACTTTCTACCCAAGTTTCCTAGCAGCTCGCGACGAAATTATTTTATGACTAGGCTGCCACTACATCGTTACCAAACAAACGACAAGAAAGGAATACAAAGAGCTCGCAACTTTTCGAACGTTTTTCTCAACTGCGAAAAAAATTCGACCAACCATACAAAACTTGACTTTCAAACTTTGCCTAAACCCGACATAACAAATACAATTTTTGCTTCTAACGTACCCCTACTCCTTTGTAGACATCAGCTCCGTTCTCTAAAAGTAACCCAACAATATCAGTGTCACCATTCTTTACAGCTGCAGTGAGCGGAGTGTCCTATAAGTAGGAAAAAAATTGGAAAAAGCACGGTAATGTATAAAGGTCATATTCTCCTCTTTTAATGGCCACGGTAAGGATAAATCTGCGTTTGGGACAGCTACATTCTGCAGGACTTTTTCAAGCTATGGTCAGAAAGAGTTTACCTTGTACAATAGTTCACCAAATCATAGGAATTCTTATTAATGGTTCGAAGGGGTACTCAGAATGAAGCAAAAAGAGAATACTCTATCCAAGAATAATGGGCATCAACTTTTCAAGTAAGGCTTATCAAAGTAACACTTGAAGAGAACATAATGGGTAGAAAGTCTCAAGCGCATGAGACAGTTTGATATTCACTAATGGAAAAACTGTGCAGTTTTAAACGATATCTAATGAAAACGTCCTTTGAGTCGTTCCTTTCAAGGTCATGATTTCCATCATCGAGTAACGGGCTTAGTGCACACTTTTTGCAGTACCTCTTTTTCCCGTCGATGATTTTTCTTCAATTACTCTAATTTAAAGAGGATGATGTATACACTAAAACTTAGGCGAAGAAAATATAGGTAATCGTGCTCGTTCGAGAGCTATAGACCATCGTACCTCTTTACCTGATCTATCGATTGAAAACCAATACCATGATCCACGGATGTGTGCACGCTTATTCCCCTGATTACATGTTTTTATGCGCAGTACACGATGCAATACTGATCATTCAACTTAAACATTTTCGACTAGTCACCACCATCAAACAAATTTAGCCGTTTCTTTCAAAAGAGCATTGGT